CTAAAGTGTTAATTTCATTCTTAAATTCAACATATTGCATTAATTTAATTAACACATGCATAGCTTTAGTTAATTCACTTGTTTTTAGAAATCCACTTACCTGATCTTCTGAATTTTTACAGTTATTTACAAACCTCAGACATAATGCTACAACACGTTTAAGTTTAGTGAGAGAGGAATATTTATAAAATAAATCATGAGCGTCTGTCAAGTGACTGGCAGCAGTTGTTGACTGAAAAGCACATCTTTGCTCTGGCACAGAATCATTCAGTAGTGGTGCAGATAATGCTTGCTGAAAAGGAAATAAATTATACAATAAATCTGGACCACGTAACCACAATGAAGTAACCAGTGCAGATGATGACACACCACGGGTTGCAAGATCAGCAGGATTAGCATTTCCACTCACATGATGCCACTGGACAGGAGAGGATAAAGTCTGGATTTTTGCTACTCTGTTGGCGACGAAGGTCTTCCATCGGCTTGCATGAGATCTTATCCAGGCTAATACAATAGTGGAATCAGTATGAAAATAAACTTGCGATATAGGAGTATTTAAAGCCCTACAGGTGAAATCCATTAATTTAGTCAACAGTAATGCTCCACAAAGTTCCAATCGGGGAAGTGATATGGTTTTTAGTGGTGCAACTCTTGTTTTGGCTATCACTAACTGAACATTAATTTGTCCAGTATCTAAGCACAGAACGATAATAAATTGCAGCGGCGTAGGCCTTCTCTGAGGCGTCACAAAACCCGTGCAGTTGAAACTGGTTATCTGATTCAACCAACAAGAATCGTGAAATTTTGATACTTTTAATGAATAACAAATCTTCTGTAAGTTGTTTCCACTCACATTCAATATCTGGAGGAACCTTTTCATCCCACTGAAACTGATGTTTCCACAATCTTTGCATAATCAATTTATACCGAACCGTGATCGGTGCCAACCATCCAAGAGGGTCAAAGGTCTTTGCGATTATTGAAAGTAATGTTCGTTTGGTTAAGACTTCAGGATATGATGAATTGACTTTGAATAAAAACATATCTGAAGCTGGATGCCACAGGATACCTAACGTTTTTACAGTATCATCATTGTCTATGTTCAAAGAAACATTTGATAAGCACAAATCTGGATTAATTGAATTGAATTCAAGACTTCTTTGCTGTTAGAAGCCCATTTTCTTAGAATAAATCCTGCACGTGACAACATCTGATTCAATTGCATTTGTAATTCTATAGCTTCAGTAACTGAATTGGCTCCGGACATCAAATCATCAACGTAGAAGTCCCTAAGACATGTCTTGGAAGCCAAAGGAAAATTAGTTGCTTCATCTATGGCTAACTGCTGTAAACATCTTACCGCAAGGTACGAAGCTGATGCAGTACCGTAAGCAATCCTAGTTAATCGAAAATCCTGAATTGGTTTATAAAGTGAATCACGCCAGACTATTCTCTGAAAGTCTGCATCTTTTAGTATAATTTGTCTGTACATTTTCTCTATATCTGCAGTTATAGCTATTCTGTGAATTCTGAAACGAATAATTAATGTTGTCAGATCAGTCTGCAACTGTGGACCAACCATCAATTTCTCATTAAGAGAAATACCGCTAGAAGATTTTGCAGAACCATCAAATACGACTCGAAATTTATCACCATTTTTATCCGGAACTGAATGGTGCGGAAGGTAAAAACTAGAATTAGCTGGAACATCAATTTCATTTTCTGGAATCAATTCCATATGACCAAGTTGTTGATAGTCCTCCATAAATTTGTGATATTGACTGGAAAGAGATTTATTCTTAATAAATTGACGTTCAATGCTTTGTAAAAACGATGTACACAGCAACATCCCTTGATGACCCAAGTTCATTTCATTTCCCGATCTACGAAATGGAAACTTAACAACAAATCTACCTGTTGAATCACGAGAAAAATTCCGCTTGAAATGATTTTCACATTCAATTTCCTCTTCTGTGTAATGCTTTATCTCCGAAATTTCTTTCTTCCAATTTCCAAAATTTTTCAAGCTGGAGCTGAACATTGGTACAACTAGCATGATTAGATACAATTGTTTGTGATACACTTTTAGTCTTTCCGATAATGACCCAGCCGAATATTGATTCCAAGGCTGTTAACGAATGACCCGGAACAGTTAAACGTCCATGAAGCATTATCTCGCCAAATACATCTGCGCCCAAAAGAATATCTATTGGGCCAGGCTGGAAACAATTTGTATCTGCCAACCACAAATGTTTGAAAGATGTCAAAACAGATCTATCAACTTGATATTGAGGAAGGTCACACGTGATCTTGGGTATAATTAATGCATTAACTGAAATGCTTGCGTTTTTATAAAATGGAGATGTTACTTGTAATTGAACTGAACCTGAAACCTTTCCAATTTTTTGCGAGCTCAGGCCATTTACACTTACGACGTTTGCACTAGTGCGCTTTAAGCTGCAGTAAATTTACACAGTGCTCTCGAATAAATGAGCCCTGGCTACCTGAATCAATTAGCATCCTGCATTTTTGTAAATCGCCATTAATATCTTTAACATAAACAACCGCAGTAGGCAATAAAACTGCTTGCGCAACAGGCACCGTGGCGTTATTGCTACTAATAGCAGAAGTTCCGTGTTCCATGGGTATATGACATTTTTCATCATTTGAATTTTTCGAACATAACACTGTATTATGTGGCTTTGAACAATATTTACACATTCCTGCACGACATTTAAAATGGGATGCGTTTTACTATCTTTTTACTATCTTTCAAACAATTAGCACATAATTTATTCCTTTTAATAATATATCCCATTTTTCTTTGATAGGGAGTTCTAAAAAACTATCACATTTAAATAACTGAGAATGAGAATTACTCTTACAATGAACGCACACATTAGCCACAAGTTGGGACGAAAAAGCGTATCTGCTGCTACCTGAACCGCGAGTTTTAATTTCAGAAGGCAAAATTGACTTCTCCCTCTGGCACCTCGCCAAAGAGGCAATAGCATTCGCTCTGTTTTTAAAACAAAACGCTTGAATTCAGCGAAAGCAGAAATTTTCTTGTTCGAATGCTCCATCGTCCACTCTTTTAGTGTTTCATGATCAAGTTTCCCTTTTAACAGAAAAATAATCATATATCCCAATGCTCTACCGGCTGTTTAAGGATTTTTAATGTATCAATACACTGTTGTGTTGTATCAATTAATCTCCGCAAACATGAAGCTGATTCATGTTTTAGAACAGGTTGTGAAGTTAATTTATTTAATGCTGCGTTTATTATTTCTATTTCGTTTTCATAACGTTCAGTAAGCGCTTCCCATGCCTTTTCATAGTTCGCGTTTGAAATTTGAACTGACTGTAGTAAAACAGCAGCTTCACCTTTCACAGAAAGCTTAAGATATTGCAATTTTTGACTGTCACTTAATGTACTATTATTTCCAACACTGGCAAGAAATAAATCTCTGAATGATATCCAATCAACATAATTAGAAGTAAACACTGGCAATTCCACGCGAGGAAGTTTCAAGCCGTTTGCATTAGCATTTATTATATCTTTGCCTGAATTACTAAGTTTTCTTGATTCTTCCTTTAAAGTAATTTTTAATACATCTAATTTGGAAAATAGTTCATTCATTTCTATTTCATATTTACTAAACTCTGCGTCAGAACAAGTACCAAGAATGTTATCGTTTAAACAGTTCACTTCAACACTTAATGCACTAACATCATTTTCGTACACTTCAATGGCAGAAAAAGAATTTTCTTGATTTTGTAAACTATTTATTTGTGAAATTAAACGAGTCAACTTACCGTTAATGATTCGCTTTTGCTTTAAAATCGACTCCATATTCCTGCCGCTGTTTTCACAATCCAGACAAAATATAAATCCGTTTTCCTTGCACGAAATGTCCTCCTATACCAGAACGTTAAAACTTGTCTTGACACATCATCCAAAGAAATGCGCTGGCTCACGACGGACCATGTTAGCGGATGGAAAGTAGACTCAAACGTTCGTTACTGCGTTTATTAGACTGTGTGAAAACAAGTTCGTACAATAGATATACAAGTAGTTCGGCGCTCGCAGGCGCCCTCTTGCAGGGAACAAAATCAAAATTTACATAAGGCGCGAACAGTAGGAACTATTAGAAGTTCCTGATTCAAGAAACTTGAAAAATGAACACTCCTCCTCGGAATTCGAACGGCGGACATTTCGGTTGCTAAATGGAAGTGATAATCACGTTTACCACGAAACTATGTGCAGGGTATTTCATTTTATTCTCTGCTTAGGTAAAGGATGGTGGTAGAGGGAGGAGGGAGACTCAGTCTGTCAAATCGAAGTGGTGACGAGTTATCGTTCACCATATTTTAGTTCGGATACCACGGTAGCTCCTATTACACCTTTTTGATGTTAAAATAGGAAAAATCAACTGTGGCATCACTGTCAATTGAAATACGAATATTCTATTTGATAAATTGGTTGTCTAACCACTTATACTATAACATCTCATATGTGTGTGGTGTGGGATGGGGTAGAATACAAAGGAGGTGAAGATCTTCATTTTAGCCAAATTAAATATTGTTTCGTTAAACAGAATTTAATTTGTGTAGTCTTTAGCTGGTACTACTACTTTGACTAAAGGAACACTTTAATGGATGAGTAGCTAATAGACTTCAGAAAAAAGAATTGCATTTTGCCGGGGGAGTGGGAAATACGTATTACACAAACTAAATGTAAAGGGAATTTTTCGTGCAAAACAGTTTTCAAATTTCAAAATATGGTCGAACATTTCTTAATACGATACTGAAAAATGAGGGATTTGGTTAAAAATAATAAGAACATTTTAATGTTTTTTTCCAAATATATACTAGAATCTAGAATAGCTTCTTGAAGTATTTAGATCTTATTTATTTCAAATAAAAATATTTATCTCATATTTAGTCAATTAACATTCGTATACGGTATGTAAGTTTAATAATGTACAATTCTTCAACAGGTGTCGCTTTTATTAATGGAGAACCGTGGAAAATTCTTCGAAAATGTTTTCTCCAAAGCTTTAGAGATTTTGGAATGATTTCTATGAGAGATAATCTGTCTGGACCAATGTATGACATTCTAAACTCTACTATTAGTGAACTACGAGCTCTGAATGGGAAACCAGTCGATATTATTGACTTACTAATGGACAAAAGCATGAATGTACAACGTCGGACTCTATTTGGGCACTATCCTATTACAGAACAGCAAATACAAGACATTATTGAGCCTTACAAAATCGTTCTGGAAACCCAGGGAGGATCTAACTCGTTTCTTGTTGGAACTATGGGAAAGTAGGTAAATTTTAACAAATGTTTGAATTGTTTTTTCTTTATATCGAATTGCTAAAAGCGTGTTACTTTACTGTTGTACAGTATATTAGATTTATGTTCATAAACGTGAAGATCATTCTGAAAAGTACAACTTCTCCTTTCGTCTAATAACATATTTGAAAGTATTTTCTATAAGAAAAGCTGTTTGTTTCTTAACAGAAAAATTATGCAATTATTTACTTTATATAATACGTAATTTACAAAACAGAACTAAGAGAAAATTTTTGGAATTATGTCCTTACAACTCGGATCTCTCTAATATAGTACTGTAGTTATTTGCATATACGATTTCTGCACATATGTTACTTGACGTCACAATGGCGAGTTCCACAGCACTGTATCATTATTTGAAGCCAATTCACTTGCAATTCCTCAGGAGAGGTCTAGGTGTAAAAGGTATTTTGTGGAAAGGTAGGTTTTTCATTTTCATTTTGTATTTTTAATGTTCATCTAAATGTTAGATGCATGCAGTTATTTTAAATAAGCATGCTGGTTTTAGGAAAGAAGTCTGTTGTTTTATATATATTTCAAAAATACAGAGGCAGGCAATATTATGGATAAGTTTGGGGTCTATCAGGCATGGGAATCGGCTTTTCAGCTTAGGGCCGAAACATTCATTTTAACACGTGGTTTGTAATTCACTTTGATTAATCTTACGTTTTTTGTACCAATATGTGTGACTAAGATTTTAGCAAACAATTTTGTATAAATAAATGATAACGAGGATTTATTTGTTGACCTCAGCAGATCGAGACAGGGGTCTCAGAATATTGAAGGCAATGAGTTCAAAAGATGCTCCTATTTTGCAACGTTGCAGCTTCTCCAGGCTGCCTACCTTCGGTCCGTTTCTTCCCGCAGAGAATTGCAAGATAGGCACCACTTCCTCACGACAACCCTTGCTTTACTCCGTAGAAGTGCTTTCGACCTCTATGTAAAGTCTTTATTATTCCGAAGTGCCCTCCTGTCGGCTTGCTGTCTATAGGTCTTTAAGGATTTGCGGGATCTGGGATCTTGGTAGTATCAGCTGCCATCCGAATGCTTTTACATCACCCGATTCGAGTTTTCGGTACAAGAAGCCGTTTCGAATATGGAGCGAGTCCCAGCGATTCCAATATTTTATCATAGCATTATAGATCGAAATACCTTGCTAGTACCTGACTATACCTTAAGTAAGTTATAGGTTTAGAAGACAGATAGAAGCTGCCATCTTCTATCTGGTCTTCCTTAACCTTTTCGTTATTTCATGGATGTTGAATTTGTAATTTGACGTACGGTAACCAAATTGTTTCATACTTCAGTTTGGGAGTGAAGAAATTCTTGAAGAATGCGGAGAAATAAATTAGGAATTAAGAAAGTGTTAAATCATGAGTGGAGAAAAACATGCACAAAGCCCAATAAACTTCAATTATAAAAGAATTGTAAAACACATTTATGTTCGAAGACAATTTAATGAAGGAATAACAAGGAATATTTCTTTCTTCGTATAGAATTATGTGTAAACTTTCAATCTTATTTCCGGTAAGAAATACCATTTACTATAAACTGATGTAATATATGCTAAATATTGTTATGCAAGATCCTTCCTGGGTACCTGTGTATTTGGAGTTTTGTGTAAGGGAACTACGAATTTGCTGAAACAGTTATGAAGTTGAGAAATGATAAAACTTGAATTTTCTGCTGTATGTTTTGAGAACTATAAACAGTGCAAAGAATTTTCAGTTTTAACTTTTCTAGTAAGTGACACTTTAATCTATTTATGTTATATCCTTGCAGAAACTTGGTATTTCGACGACTGCCTTGTTATCATGCATTTGTTTCCAGCCAAAAACGTATGGAAGATGCCTTGAATAAAATTATAGATGAACATGAAAGAACCCTCGATGAGGATAATATACGTGACGTAATGGATGCTTATTTGAGAGAAAGAAATGAGCGACAGAGAAAAGGAGATCCCACAGCGAAATATTTTACAAGTACGTTTGAAAATTCTCATTTTCCAATTTGCAATTTAGAGAAAACGAAACATAAAATGTTTTTTCCTTATATAATATAATTTTACTTTTATATCACTTCAAACATTTTTTTCTTTGTTTTTAAATACAGAGGATCTTACGCATTTTTAGAACGATACCAGGGCTGTTTAATTAATGTTTATAATGTAAAGAGTATTTTTAAAATGTTCGATCTGATAGTCGTTTCTTCTGGATAAATTTGCATTATGCTTTCCGTGATAGAAGGGCTTTCCATAAAATTTCAGGAGGAACGATGTCCATTCCTTTTCCACAACTTTCCAGAATATCATTCGTGGTAGGTTTGCGCATTAGAAAGAGCTCTTTTCAAGAGGCCAGAGGCACAATAATCCATAGGTGAAAGATCAGGCGAGGCCCACCAGCGGCCAAGTGGTAAAAGCCGCTCAACACTGGTAGTTCGGTCTGGGATTCGAATACTGGCGAACGGGCTGGCTTCATGGGCGTTTTCGTGATTTTCCCCATGTGTAACGTGGGTAAGAGCCAGTTTTCCTTAAAAAGAACTCCACGGGGCATCCCTCCCTTTCCGTGTAGTGACTAAGAGCGAAGCACGTAATAAGTTAAAAAAAAAAAAAAAAAAAGAAAGATCAGGCGACTTCGCAGATATGCTTTGAAAATGCATGAGTGGGATACTTACATCAGGCTTTATTTTTCAAGGAATGCAGTAGTGCTTTTCTAAGTATAGCTTGTTGATTTGTCTGAATGAAGCTTTACTATTAGAATAAAGAAACGGAATTTCTTCTGTAAACACTGAACGCAAAACTTTCTGTTGATGGTATGCTAACTTAATTTTAATATCTTTACCTATTCTTTATTTTAAATTTTCAATGGTAAGGATCTTTGGACAATCATAAACCCCTGATTGAAACAATTTTGACAGAACCAAGTTTGTATATTTTCCTCCTTTGCTTTTGATAATAAATAGACCTTTTTTCGCAGTCTTTTAGGTAAACTCATGCTTCATCAAAGGTCACAATGTGCTTCCATTTATGGTCTGTTAAATATTTTTCATACAGGATTCTACAGATTGTTCTCTCTTAAGCCACCTCGGCAAAAGCTATGGCGAACATTGCATTGTTTTAGATTTTTAAGTTATAAATGTAGATTTAATATTTTATTTATTGTTGATACAGATCTATTTAAATGCTTATTTAAAGACTTGCGCATCGGAGTATTTTGCATTCTTACAAAAACTTTAGCTTTAGAAACCTTAGAAGCAATATGTACCTTTTTTGGATATTAGTTTAGAGTATTCCTTCCATGTAAAATTAATGATTGACGATTTTCTTCTTCCCTATTAATAATATTGCTTATTTTGTAGTTGAAAATTTTAATACCACGCATTTTACACCGTTTTTGAATTATGGTATGGGAATATTTCTCTTCGGAAAGCGTAAAATGATATCCTTTAGTCTAGAGATTGTTTACAAGCGACATTTTAAAAGAATAAACTTATAAGTAGCATGCAGTATTTCTCATTTCAAATAATAGCTGTTGCCAAAATTTAAAAAAAAATGTTAACGAAATCGTTCTGAAAACTTGTAAAACATTCTGTAGAAATTATGCTAGGTGCTTTGGAAGTAATTGTAAATAATTAACTTATATGTACTAGTACTTAAAGAACGCTATTCAAACTCTGCATCGTTGCTTCCTTACTAAGGATATGAGAAGCTGCTGCGATATTACGTAGTGTACAAGAGAACTCCGAATATCTAGAGTGCCTGAAACGAGATTACCTGTATATACCCCAAATCCGGATACTTGGGTTGCCTTTGCCTGTAAACTGTTTATGGTTTTACTGTAATGCAGGTGAAGAAATTTTTTCCCTCTTTCTTTATGTGTCTTATTTCATAAAAAAAAAAAAAAAAAAAAAAAAAAAAAAAAACACTTGCCTTTCCTTTCGAAATAAAATATTTTTATTTCTTCAAAACAAAGTAAATAGCTTTTAGCAAAATTAAATAAAGAAATTAATTATTTTATTTGGTTTTGAGCATACAATTCATTTTGAATTAAAATTAAACACTATTATTTGGATTGGTAGCAATCAGTAAAAATTATAATGACTTTTTAATCTTGCTTTTTACTTTTAATACCTTAAGTTAAGCAGAGATATTATTGCTTATTAATATAAAATAAAACACGCTTATGTTTTTTAACTAGAGAAAATAACAAAAGACATTCTTATGGACGTAAAATAATAAGTGTAATTGTATATACCAAGGGTTTTCAACCGGTGGTACGCGTACCAGTGGTGGTACGCAAAAGAAAAATAGATGGTACGCAAAGAAGCGAAGTATTTTTAAGTATTAAATTCAAAAATTAAACACCGACATTCTGATTGAGCTTGTTTCTCTATCACTCGTAAATTTATGCGACCTGAGCTTTCTTCAAGAGTGGTGGTGGTAGTAGTACTTTGTAGTGGTGGTACTAAAGGTTTTTCAATTTTTGTTTAGATGGTACGCGTTAGTCAAAAGGTTGAGAACCGCTGGTATATACAATTATCAGTGCAATGATCGATGTACTGCCAACAATATCTTGAAAACCAGAAAATTAAAGAGATTGAAACTTTGCTGGTTTTGGATTGGGTTGCAGATGTGGATTATTTATCAAAAATTACTTTGCATATCTTGGATTTAAAATATATCTGCATATCTTGGATAAAAATTGGATTTAAAAAAAAATCCTAAATCCGGAAGTTCCAATACTTAATACCTTGAAACTTGCAACTGCTTTATGATTTCAACGCTATAGACTAAACATTTAAGCAATTTAAATAAAGTTGTAAGGAATTAAAGGCATTCTTTTTTGCCTGTTTGTGGTGTAGCAATCCGCATATCTATTTAGCAAGTGCAATCAGTCAAGACGCCATCTCCAATTGAACTCGAGTTGAATTGGAGATGGTGTCTTGACTGTTTAACAATTCTTTCTTTCAACACAACCAGATGAGTTAAAAATGGGGCCGTAACTAAAAAGTAGTGTAGTGTAAAAAGTGTAACTTGTCATCATAAAAGTCCGTTATGGAAATGTTATATCTCGTTACAAATAATTAAAGTCCTATCTTACCCAGGATGTAGTGACCAGCTGTTGCCTTTTTAATATATATATATATATATATACCTGTGATAAAGATAAAGATATATGCATTTATGTATGCTCTCAGGTTGGTGATATGTAGCTTCCGTCTCAAAAAAAAAAAAAAAAAAAAAAAAAAAGTCTGCATAAGAAAAGGATTTTTATCAAAATCCAATAGTAATTGAAGTTGATTCTCTCTTTTTTCCCTAAGTAAAGAAATATATTTACAAATTTATGTTATGTTACGGTCATTATCTTCCGATAATGTTATTTTAAAATCACTAGAAAGAAAAATGTTTTAGGTTGTTTTTGTTATGAAGTTATAACTTGTTTTTAAAACACCATAAAACAGTCATGATATGTTATAAAGGCTTTAATTACAAAACGGTGAGAGAAATTCTTTTTATTGCTTTAAGATTACACAATAACTAAGATATTGCGTAATTAAGAACAAAAGAAATTGCATTTTTTCCCCAGTCAGGTGAGTTTATCATACAGAATTTTGTTTCATGGTCTTTAACAGCTCCACAAATTATCAGACAGCAGAGCTGTGTTATACTGTTAGCCATCATTTTTCTGAGTGGTTATTTTTACTTTGCAATCTTAGGCTCTTACTAGAATATCAAACTTGCTATGTAATTCAATTTATTTTTAAGAATCTTCTAGAACATCTTGCTATGAAAATTGTTATAAATGGATCAGTAAACGTAGGTTTGAAATATAAACGCATTTCAAACTTTTTGCTCTTTGCTAAAACCCTATTTTGCTATCCAAAGGTCTAATTTCAATTTTTTTTTAACAACAGGACAAGCTTTGATGTCATCATTTGCTCAGTTCGTCGGGGATGGTCTTGTTCCTATTGTCTATGCAGTTGGAGTGTGTTTTCATGCCTTAACGCAATATCCTGAAGAGCAAGATAAGATATATAAAGAAATTCTTGAAGTAGTCGGCCAGGATCGACAACCAAGTATGGAAGACAAAAGCAAATTATCATATACAAATGCCTTCATCTTTGAAGTCTTCCGAACATCCGATTTTTTTCCATTTTTTCCTAGTCTGATGAATACAAGTGAGTAGAATCTATTTTATAATTAAAAATCTATTTTATAATTATAACAAAATTTTGTCTAATTAATTTGCTATAAGTGATAAGCTGTAGAATGTAATGAAGAGGAAAGGTCATTCACTTAAATGTATCAAACGGATATAAAGTGTATAAAAAGACTGAAAGATTAAATATTTACTAAACATCATAGTCTATTTTAAGAAATAAATCAAATCATGTTAAGTTCTCGATCTACGATAACTACAGTCATGTGATACCATTACTTAAAATATACGAAATTGGAATTTCTCTACTCGAATTAGTAAGTTGTAACACTTAAGTTGTTCTGTATCCTACCGTTGAAAGAAGACCAGTCCGCAAAGGGAAAAATCGGGACTTAAAAAGGCTGTTTAAATTATGACTTAAAGCATCTAAAACTAAAGTCTGTTTAGGACTCAGGAAGAAAATGAGTTAATAATATTAAAATTTTATCATTCTTATAAATAGTAATTTGCACAACAGTCTGAAAACGGTGCTTCTAAACTAATATTTTCTAACATTAAAAGACATTTATAGACTATTTGAATTCGAAAACTTAACATAACATATGTAGTTATCTTTAGCAGTATTTGTACATGGTTCCCCAAAATTGTAATTAATAATACCTCGGGTAACTTTGATTGAATGAAGACTTTTTTTAACCGATTCGGTTAATAAATGTTTCTTATTCACTATATTTTCCTTCGGAGACAGTATAAAAATTAACGTTTTGTGTATGAAACTAAAAAGTATTATCGAACCAAAATTATCATAATTTAAATGCTCACATTGTCTGATTCACTTCCTAAATTGGAACCATGCGCATGAAATGTCGGTTGTAGCTCAGTAGAAGTAGCATTCTAGTCAGACATATTATCAGAATCACGAAAATGTATAGATTTTGTAAATATGATTTACAAAAAAAAATATAAAGGCAGTTCTGTTCTTTGGACTCCAAAACTATAAAAAAAAAAAAAAAAAAAAAAAAAAAAAAAAAAAAAAAAACCATCGATAGTTAAAGCTTTTGCCCCCAGTCTCATTTACATCGCTTTTAGTTTACTAAAAGATTTTAAATTGCCTAAGAAATTAGATACAAGTTTTGTTATTCATATTAGAATTATAAAACTTAAGTGGCGTTCTCAGAATTATTACAAATTTTACGTAGTTTTCTTAAATTATCTAAAATCATTAGCAAATAAACATAACTTAAAATCTGTAACAGTAAATACATTGAATAGAACATCAAGGTAAAAGAATACATCTCATTTCATTCAGCAAATAATGCTTCTTTGATCGAGTGCAATATGCTTCGGTTAGATTGAAAAATAAGTATATGTAGTAAAATACGTAATGCCGGGAATTATCGAAAAATATTAAGAATTATCTGCACTGAGAGATAAATATTATTTTGGCAGTGACTGCGTTGTGATGCAGTAACTCCAGATGTAAAGATAAATAGATTTTACTTGGAGTGTCACGACAAACCAAACTGATAATAGATAAACTTAACGATGTAATAGTGCCCACAACGTAACATCTTTCACATCGGAAATCGATATTTATTCAGAATCTAAATTTTTTCAGTAGGAATTTAACTACATAGTCAGTCCCATAGAAACCATGACAAACACCAATTTCATGTATGACATTTGTGAGTTACTTTGCTAAGGAATAAGGCATAATTCTTAGTGCATCGCAAAAGTCATTAATAATTTATTAAAGAAATTATTGGAAGATCAAATAAGATTTGGTAGGAAGGAAAAATGTCCGTCTATTTTTTTAATCGAAAGGTCGATCACATATTGTTTCCCTGTGTCGCGTCTCAAAATAAAAACAAATGGTTCTTGCCTCTAGTTCCTCCTGAATTTACTGAAACTTTCTTCATCCTAGAAAATTCAACAAAGAATGTAAACTTCACGACGGATGAAAGCTAACGAACTTAACTTGTTAAGCAAAAGAATAATTTCATGATGAGGCACGAAAGTTTGCGATTGAAAGATTTTAAGTAGAACAGGTGAGAGAAAAAGTGGTCAAACACCCCTCGCCCGGCTGCATTTGTGAAAGATTCATCCTATGGGGTAAGAAAGGTAAGGTTATCAATACCAGTATTGAATTAATGCGGATTTATCGAGCTAAGCGGCGATGTTACCAGCTCTTTGTTGTACTGCCGTTAATCAGCTCATTAATTTGGAACTTTCACAACGTAGTTAAAAATCCACGGAAGCGGAGGGCTGGTGAAAGAGGAAGGGAAGAGGGTGGTAACATTTTTGTTACGTGAGCTCTTGAATGATAGACAGGCAAACAAAGAGTAGTCTGTGTTCTATTGAAATGAAATCTTATCTATCGAAACATAAGCGGGCACGTAACTTCATGATCCAATCCAAAGATTGTAAATCGCAACATATTTCCATATTCCGGGAGAGTCACGGAAACCACTTCTGACTCAAAATCCTAGGAGTTATCATTCGATAATAGACAGGATTGTAAAGTCCTTTTGATATAAATTGTCACTTCTCTGCCTCTGTGGCGGATTATGTCACAGCGGTAGTTAAAATAGTTCAGAATTTGGTATTTTGAGAAAGAATTGCAAAAGTCTCGCTGATTAAAGTAATGACTATATCGCATTTCAGCAGGAACTGATGGGATTTAAATTTATTTGTGAGACAACGGGAGTTCCACACCATGATTTTGATTGGACGCAATAATTCATAGTACTTATCTATGATTGGTCGAGAGTTGCTTGGCTGTTTCGGGAGCTACTGCACCTTAAATCTTTGCTATATTGCTTGCGAGTTCTGAGATACCGACCTTCTAATGAATAACACAAGGTTTGTAGAACTTGTAAACTTTTTCTGGCTTGAAAGGTTTTCGGAAGTATGCATTGAAACATAATCTAAGTTACTACATTCGTTCTCAGCATCTCCGAAAAATTTTCACAGAAAAGTACGAATGGTTTTGTGTCTGATTTTTTAAAGGAAAATGAATATTTTACTAACTGAAATTTGTAATATCTGGGAACCGTACAAAAAGTTAAAATGTGTATTTAAATAACTCTATTAAACCAGTGTTGAAACTGCTTTCACAAAATATTCTGCATTTATTTCAGTATAAGTACATGTTCAAAATCAATATTTAAAAAAATAAAGGGTATGGGCATTTTGCAAGCAAATTATGTAAACTATTATTTTGAAGGTGCTAAAAAGGCATCCAAAATGTTATGTTCAGTTAAACAAGCCAATCTTCTCTGTTAGTTAGAGAGGCCATTTAACAATTATTTTCTCTCCAAGAAACATACCTAGAAATTATCCTGAATTCAAAGAATATTTATATTCAGATTGTTCATATTATATTAAAAAGCGATTGATATAAGAATATTAAGAAATTATGAATAGCATTATAATATTACCATGAATTAAAATTACCACATTACCGTGCATACGACGGTTTCCATGGGGTTATCCATAAATATAAGCCAGTTTCCCTTAGAAAGTTTTCTACAAAGGCACCGCTATCCATAGACTGTTAACCTTTTTACCTAAGGTCTCTACAAATCATAGTACCTTTTGCCATAGTCAAATAATCCAATCCAACCCGGTCGAACAAGCTGGTGATCTGTATCACGCTGCTCAAGCAGGTCACTGCTATTCGACAAACACGCGACCTGAAATGAACGAGCCTTATCATTTGATAAAATAATAATTCACATATATATTTTAACATAATAATACGCGAGTTAATTTGATTTGCACTAATGCAATGAATGACTTTATAAGGTATTTCTCCCTTTGTGGTGTAATGGTCAGCACGCTCGGCGCGTATTCGAAAGGTCCGAGGTTCGAGTCCCGGCGAGGGCATAGCTCATTTTTCTCGCCTCTCAGCATAAAAAATCTCTGTCTCTACAACTTTGTTTTCTGTAGTAGTATGACAAGTGTCAGAAGAAAATATTTTACGTTTACGTACATGTTTGATTGTATACTAATAAAAGTACCACTAAATTGAACTGTGCTTTTTGGCATACCTTGTAAAATGCATACTTTACAAAATTTTCTCAGAAATTTAAATGAAGTTATAAAATAATTCAGAGTATAAGAACTACTTTTCATTAATTATTTTAATTTTCTTAAACTTTAGAAGAAGTAAATGTACAAGGCTACAGAATTCCTAAAGGAACTATAGCTGTGATAAACATGTGGTCAGCTCATCATGATCCTGAAGCATATGAAGAACCTTATAAATTTAATCCATCCCGATACATTTCCCAGCCAGGAAAAAAGAAAGAAGAGCTTCCATTTATATTCGGAATCGGTAAGTCTATCACAGGTGTTTAGATACGCATATCTGAAATACGTGGAATGGACGGCTTGTAAATTTCAGGGTCACATAAGTGTATGAAATATTAGGTGTTTTGGAAAAAAAAAACTCTATAGTTCTCTATAGCTCTGACTTAAGCAATGAATCAAGTAGATTTTTTAATTATCAATATTTTAACCAATTAGAATACTTTAATAAAGATGTGTATTTAATAAAGAAATAAAAATTTAGATGGAAGATTTAGATACAAATTTAGATACAAATTTTTGATTGGCCCCTTTTACAAAGAAAATTCTAAGCAGTAAGTTATTTCTAATTCCTACAAAAATTTTCTAGGTAGAAAAAAACGTTTAAGTATACTCATCTGTTCAAAAGGAATTTCAATTTTGAGGAAAGAAATCTGGGTTCTTTTAACTAGAAATTTACCGTTAATCATGTCTCCTTTGACCCTGCTATTCCCTCTGATTAAGATTATTGATAGTTCAAGCTAACCTAAGCGAAGAGATGGCCAGTTTGTAAGACATATCAAGAAATGCAATCTATTAAGTGCATCTAGGGATGCCAGAAACTTTGGAGCAAGTCTTTTATGTTCCGATAGCTACTTCTATGAAAGTGACTGGATAGTAAGTTTTTACATTTCAAATAGAACTGCTATAAAATTATTTTTCGCTAGCATTTTGAACATGAAACAAATAAAAACTTAGTTTCGTTAAACCCTTTTGTAAAAAAATGTAGCATTTCAACAATTTTGATATGCTTTATATTTGAATTGATGTTTCTTTGAATAGAGATTTTTTTAAATTTGAGTTCTAAATATTAACATGTGCAGACATATACAGCAATATGTATGCTCTGAAATGCCGAATAAATGAAAACGACAAGCCAATGCAGAAGATATGGTAATGCTGCCTACATATGTTACTGATTGAATACCCCAATGCTTGTGATGAAATCTACAAATGCTTGTGATATTTTAATATAATATAATGGCTAATGTTTATGAAATGGGTCATGGTATTTTAATGGGTTTTCTTTCACATATGAACATTTAAAGATCGTACCGTCACTATAAGAATTCTTGCATATCTCTGATCTTATGACAAACCTGAGGCCATAAAAGACCCTAGATGAACATGACCAGCATTAATTGTCAAAAATCATTTTATGCAACAGGAATACAACATTGCCTCAAACATTAAAGTTCAGTCCAGGGATAATGGATTTCAGTACGAAGATTGTAAAACGTTCCTTCATCGTATCGGCTTCAAATGAGAGCACACCAAATAAAGATGATACAGAACTATATAACCCACTTTGGCTCAAATTCGGTCACTAAACACTAATTGATTAAAACAAGATACCTTAGTTTCATCAGTCGCATTTTCAGTATTTTCTTTAAGTGAAAGAAGGATTTGTTGCATGGTGAAAACCTCATCATTCCATGGATCCTACATGTCAGTAGGAGACTATACACGCTGTGATAGCTCTTTCGTTTTAGCTAATTGGGATCCAGTAGGATCACAGTAATATCTAGAAACGTTTTTGATAGATGGACTACAATGATACGCTTTGTAATGAGTTATGCGCGTTAATCGTTTGGCATTCCTTACATTGGGCTTGCCTTCTTTTAACAGAATCATTATTGATAGATACGTCTAGAGAGACCAAATTATTGTTAAAGAAATGCAGATCTTACACTTAGATCACTTAGACCTAAGTGTAGATCTAAGTGTATTGGAATGGCCCACCTAAGGATTTGCATTTTAAAGTTATTGACCACTTCTGGGATAACAGGCAATGTATTGTGAAGACAGTAATCTTACATCTCGGAATGTAACAAAATTATAGCTTTCTGTGTGGGAAGTATACCAATGGCAGACATTATGAGAACTCAGGAGTATATTATTAAATTATGTCTTGTAAGCAAAAGTCTCATTACTCAACCAAAGACATATTGAAGTTAATTTTCGAAAGAATTATGCTATCGTGCGTGTTTAATGCAACTGCATCCTTTATAGCCAGTATGTATGCCCTTTTCTGCGGTTTCGCACGGCCTCTCCCATTTGTCTCTCGTCGAATAAGTGTGGCATATGACTGCTGGAATGTTGATCCGTATGACAAGTTCTCCTCCTCTAAAATAACTTATAAAGCTACATTCTAAAAGGCATCTAAATTTTGAAGCTAATTCTTTTGACATCAACTGATCAAGAACAAAACTCAATATTAATGCACTTGTGCATTTTATTAAGGAGTAGCGTTATACTTGATCTGTTAAAGCCAATTAGCCCAATAACCTAAAATTTGGTACGCAAATTATCACTATGACTGTAATAACGAAACAGTAATGAAGGAGTTTAAAATAACCTTTTTATTTAAATAGAAATTAGAATACAAGTTCAATTTCTGCTGCTACAATATAACTACAGCTCGTGGCGATGCAACTAAATAGAACAGGCAGTTTGAAGTTAAACCTGGAACATTAGCCAGACTACCAATTTATTACTGTACCAGATATTAGCTCACTGTTCTGCCGGAGCGTCAGATTTCAAATGTCAGGAGGGAAAAACCCAAAGCCTAATCATTTCAACTATTGGAGATGGCAGGAAACTAAGACGTAGCTTAGAAGCTACGTCTAAGCCAGAAACACGCTCTGTCTTAAAATCCAAAAACTTCGGTTTAAATACTGTTTTTGCTGTTCATTTGCATTCTGGTCAAGAATATGGAAGGAGAATTTATGGTAAAGTTTGAAATTATAAATAACTGGTTAATTAACACAAATTCTCGACATAGGTCTAAAAATGGGCACTAAAAGTTGTTTTATTAATTACCTTGTTTTTCAAAAAGCATTTTTTAACATTTCATTTATCAACAGTATGAAAGACTGATAAATATTTTGAATACGAAATTAAGACATCCGTTTGTAAAATGCTTATGCGGCGTGTCAAAAATTATCAAGTAATTTTTATAGAAGTACTATTTTATAGAATATATATATTTTATAGAAGTACTAAGCTAGCAAAAATTACTTATATTTAGTTTTCTCATCTGGATATAGGATATAAAATTCTTATTCTGATTCATACTAATGAGCGTTCTCATTCTAACGAACAAACATCTCTTCATTATTAAAGACATTTAATTTCTAATTAATTATATTTATACACCAAGCATTGTATAAAATGAATGTGGAACAGAGAAAATACTTGAGCAAGACTGCGATCATTGCTTTCGCGTATATTCGATTTAGACAAATAAAATGCTTCTATACGTGTTTGTTATGTTTCTTCCAAAATAATGTGTTCAATCATTCAATCATTTCCGTAATTAAGTTGATGTCAGCTACTAATATTCGCATGTGGGTATTTATTGACGAAATTAATATTTAATTATATGCCCTAGATTAGGATTTGTTTGGTAGTCGTAAAGCAGCATTTACTTTTAATAAAGGCTTAACGCCTTTCTCTGTAGTAAAGATGATCAACAGGAATATTTAAGAGACCCTGTAAAACATATAAGAAAATAATTTTCCACATTTGAATAACGTTTGATTTTTCTAATTGTTTTCTTTGTCTCTTCTTCAGGTAAGCGATCTTGCATTGGAGAGGCATTTACAATGATGCAAGTTTTTCTTTTCTTGACAAGTATCATAAAAAATTTTCGTATTGCTTTGCCTGAAAAAGAAGAAACCAGTAAATCTGTATTTTCAATGAAATTGAAAATACATGCTCACCCTAGGTAGCTGAAGTGAAAGAAATTATTTACTTTTATGAATGTTGTCACTTTTTATTTATTTTATCATATTCAAAATATTAGTAGTTCTAAATATATATTCGCAGTATAAAGCCTATCTGTCTTCGCATTAACTCTTTGAAAACCGAAGCCTTCTCTAACCTGTATGTTAAAATACCGAATCGCACGAAATAGTTTTCGAGAATCACAGAAATGTCCATCCCTCTACATCCATTAACGCACAAAGAAGAGTGAAGATTTCAAATAACATACTTTCAATTTCTAAAAAATAAAGATAAAAAACCACAAATAAATCCTTTTAGGACAAGCTGCATGCAATAAAGTGATACAATGCATTTGGGGAAACTGCACCCGCTATTGCATATCTTAGGGAAGCTAAGAACATTGGAATTTCGGCCGTTTGGGGCGCTTGTGGTCGTTTGAATGAAAGGTCGTCTGAGGCGTTATGGTCTTCAAAGTGTTAATAAAGTAACTTACAATGTAAAATAATATTTGAAATGGAAATTTTCAGTATATTATATGTGTTTACAAATTTATGCTTGATCATACATAGATTTTGAAACCTTTTCGTAATAATCTGAAGAAATGTTTTTATATAATGGGATCAGTATAATGTTATTATGTAACGCATGTATATTAAATGTTATAAAGCTTTTTTAAGAATTGAACTTCTATTTTCTTAACATGATCTCAGATTAAAAATATTTTATGATAAGTAAAAATATCATTCTTATTGTTAACTTCTCAATAAAAGTTTCAAACATTATTTTTCATGATTTCAAAAATAAGAGAAAATTAATTCCCAAACAAAATTGTTACTTTTAATTTTTAAGCTATAAATCCTCAGAGGTTTAGAAACAAGTATGCATGGCTTTATACATAATTATAATAGCTGATTATATAGATGAAAATTTCAGCTCTGGGTGGAGGTATTTTAATCACGTGGGAACGTGTGGGAAACATTGAAAATTTGATGGCACGAAAAGAGATTGCAAAGAGTGATTCGGTCTTTGCCAGTCTATCCAGAAGATGTTTCCAGAAAATTTTATTTGAAACTTTTATCATAGGATAACTCAATAATCTCTTCTTTTCTTTCGTTAAAACTGTGTCTCGCGGATTTGCATCCTTATGCTGAAGAGGAAAACCGCACATTTAGATTTCGACAGAAGTATTCAAAAAAATCTTCGATCAAACAACTGACAATGGATTCAAGAAACTTTTTTCTGCAAAAAATATTTCCTAGAACTGAAAAGAGTTACAATTATTATTTGAAGTGCCTATTACGGATAATTTAACTTCCTTACTTAAAGTAAAAATAATTGTGAAAATTTTTTAAGTTTACACTAATAATTTTATAGGGTTCATCAGCTGGTAAAAGCGGTCTTTCGAAAAAGTGCGTATTTACTTTTTATCAGTAAATGCGCAATTAAACTCCGAGTTACTGTTAGAGATAAAACATCGTGCAAATTTCTTCATAAAAATAAACCAGGTAATTTCCAGCAAACCACCTTCCCTTGGTATACAAGAAAATATACTTGTTACGTACTCATTTCCAAGTCTATTGTAAAATATTTTGAATCTGTCTGCATCCCTGTTCATTATATTTCGTGTCCTATGAGACATATTGAACAAAGCGGTAAAACGAAGTTGATTCGTTCGCTTTTTGCTTTGTTGCAGAAACACTTGACACTTTTGTCTCTCTCAGGCAAATAATCAATCAATATAAGGCTGAGAATTATAACGGGTATTTCAGCCCTTCCAGTTGCAAGATGACACTGAAAGACGCTTCAAGGCCTCTCGTATTCTGAATTGCAGAGAGACAAGTTTTGAGTCGAACTTTAGCTTTTTCAACTTCTTATTAAATTAGTCATTTATTAATCTTAGTGATTCAAAAAGGATACTAAAATATTAAAAAAAATCGTTCATATATTCTAGGCTGAAGTGTAATTTTTTTATATAAAAAATAACAATAATGCAAGATCCATTTTTTTAAGTGATTGTGCGAGAAAATATAAATACATTTTTGAAGCCGCTCAGACGGTGTGGTGGTTAGGGGAGCCTACTTCGAGACGAAGGGCCTGGGTTCGAATCATGGAGAAAGATTGGATGTTTGTAAATGTATAGTATCTGTGTGGCATGGCTTTCACTCTAAATAATATGCCGTGAGCCGAAAGTTCTCTCGAGAGGTTGATGGTAGGGGAAGAAGGGTGGGAGACTCTCGAACCCGTTCCCTCAGCGTACTCTCCTTCAAAATTGGAAGAGGAACTGAGCGAAGTCGTAATGTCACCACCTGAATGGTGTTTAGGACTGTTGCCAACTACAGGCGCAGTCTTACTCTCCTTGTCAGGATGAATTTTATGGGCCTGTTCTGATATCACTGTCAGTTAAGTGAGATAAGTCACAACGCAACAATATATTTATTTAGGTAACCAAAGAAGAAACTTTCCATCTATATTTTCGAAAATTTCTTTCCTACTTTTATTTATTTATTACAAAACTTTTGTCTTGAAGGATGTCAGCGTATCTCCTGAAAGTAAATCATGAACCCTTGGAAGTAAGCGTTTTTGAGGGGAAAAAATCTGTTAGTTTTTGAGGAAAAAAGTACTTTAGTCCTTTATTATATTACAATAAAAACAACACTAAACGTGAATAAATTCAAGTACAATATATAAAGCTACGACTTATAATTACAAACCAAAACTATAACAAGAAGCTTATTTTAAATAAAATAAAAGCCTAAAACACATTTATATCTTCTGGAAATATAGATCTTTCTGCAATATATTTCTTGGACGACCAGTTATTTGCATTTCAAACAGAGGACATCTAACGCTTTAAAAATAAAACAGAGCAATTTATTGTTAATAGGGACATAAGCAATTTTGAATTATTTAAAAAAATTGCTGAAATTCTCCCTAGTTAAATTAAATTTAGTTAGTATTTCAAGTTTTAATATTTTACTTTGTTGAAAAAAATGATTACAATAAGACGAAGCATGCAATGAAAATCATAAATTGCAGAAACTGAAAAATATTTTGACAGCTCTAAACTTCGGCTCTGCGATTATTCTTCTCTCTCACTTTCCAGGAATATTAATCGTAGTTAAATTGATAATACTTACCAAACAGGCACAAAAATAATATCCACCAAATAGGATAGCAGCACTAAAACAATTAGGAAATTAAATAAATGTTCATAACTTTATAGTTTCCTTTTTAAGAGTGGTTTTTGTGAAATGGAAAACTATATAGATTAAAAGTTTCATTGGACTAAATTTCGGCAGAAAATAAGATCCAACACAGTGCCACGAGACGCGTCGCTGCTTTATTCTGCAATAAGCACCTGGAAATATTACCTAAGTATTCACATTAGAGGAAACTGGTGAGCTCGCTAATGTGAATTCGGCGGCAATTACATAATGTTTTGCAAAATTTTATACTCAAAGTAGAAAACACTTGCCACTGTGCGGATCTCCTGAAATAAGCCAATCGTCTAAATTCTCGCAGTCAGAATATAGAAGTCATATGAACCGACTAAATCTACTGTCAAGTTCAATTAATCAAAATCGTAATATGGTTATGAGTAAGCCGTTCTTTAAAATCATTGACATTGTATGCTCTCGAGATTGTGGTGATTTGAAATAATGAAGTTCTCATGTTTACGGTTGCAATGAAAATCTTTCGAAATTTTCGAATGATATCACCCACATTTTATCTGCACAAATTGTTCAGCACATTGAAAAACTATATATGGCGTTGGAAAGAAACATGTAGGACGAAAATTGCCGGTGTAAAACAATTGCAAAGAAGAGCATTGTAAAAGATAAATGACAGTATAAGAAATTAGAAAGGAAAAAAAACCTTTATTGCTGCGTAAACAAAATATATAAGTAAAGCCAAAATGATTTCAGTTTATCAGAAAAAGGTCCTTTTTAAAAAGATATAGCCCTTAATTATCAAAATTGGAAACCTTCAGCCCAGTTCGTAGTGGGGAAATTTCAAATATTTCCAAAGGTTTATGCAGTGATCTCTTTAAGAAAGTATCTTCCTCCCCCCCTCCCCCATAAAAATTAGAGTTCATTATTTTTTAGTAATCCTCTTGTCATATATTCACGCAAAGACTGAGGATCTATGAATGTTTTTGGCCATTATAACCGAGAAGAATACTGCTTTCTACCTATGCTGAAAAATGCTTTTTGTAACCAACTAGGATTGTCTTCCCCATGAGCAGTAATCCCTCCCGTCTTAAGTCGAAAACTAGAAAGAACAGGGCCAGCTCCAAGCATAGGCGACATTAGGCAGTCGACTAGAGCACCGATTTTCGCGGAGAGTCACCTAAAGTGTAATCATGAGAGACGTCTGAATAATGATATGTTTCGCTTTAAATTATAAGCATTCAGAGCGCTAATTACACTGATCAGCGACATCTAAATAAGGAATTATTTTGCTTTAAATTATTAATAGCTTTGTTGTATAAAGGACATTAACTACACTGATTGCCTAGTCGAAATTTCACGAGTCAGAACTGGGAAAGGAGAGCGATTTTTGTTTGCAAATCATGAACAGTTACTTAAGGTTTTTTTTTTTTGTTCATATGATGACTGAGAATCGAAACTATCTTTCCAGACAGAGAGAAAGGATATTGAGCGGCACATTCTGAAATTTAATATTAATTAAATTTGAAAAGAGTATTAAATTTCACTTTCAGTCATTGAAAATTGCATAAAAAGTTAATGTAAACTGTCGATAGATGGCATTACATGCTGCGCTGATTAATGTTTCTCAATGGCTTCAGTTGAAATTTAGGATACGGACATAAGAATTTTCGGCTTCTTCTGACATTTGAATCGTTCAAATCTTACATTAACACCCCGTGTAACTGTTAATTTTATTGACGTTTAACAGAAACAATTCTTAAAAAAAAAAAAAAAAAAAAAAAGGAAAAGAACGTAATCATTACAGTTGTAACTGACTTGAAACACTAACATAAGCTCATGTAAATTCTAAACCACACATTTAACTTTCTATTCGGTCTTTATTATTCCATGTTCAGTGTTTATCTGTGTTAAATGAAGTTTTGAAACTTTGCTTTAATTAAAAGCTTTTAATTTTAAGTAAATTATTTTTTATCTTTTGCATATAATTCTTATATGAAGGACTTCGAGATTTCAGAACCTTTTAATATTGAGATTCGCATTCCAGAAAATTTAGGATTTACTCCATCTTTAGTTAAGATATTCGATCAAAATTTAGGATTTACTCCATCGATCAACATATTACTCTATTCAAGTTTGCAGGAACATTTTGATTTAAGTTAAATAAATTAAATCGATATTAGTTTTAAATAATCTTTCTAGGAGATTCTCATAGAGCGGGAATTCCAGTCATCAAGAAATCTTTATGATTCAGTCAGCTGAATACAAAAAGTTACGTACAGATTTAAATGAAAAATTCACAGAGATGAGATTCACGAATGGTTTCCTGCAACCAGCAACAAATTTAATAACGGCTAAATAAACGTATCTAAAATTTAAAAAAAATGCAAAACAGTGTATAACAGACACAAAAAAGGTGCTTTTGATTCAATCAATTCATTGGAACTTACATAAGAGGGAATTTCTGAGAAAGTCTAAGAGCATACCCCTGCCAAGCAATGCAAATGTGAAGCT